TGATTTGAATACTGACTCAGAGTCTGAAAGTAAGTGAGATGAATGTCCTCTCCAGAATTCTGCAGGTCTGTTGAAGAGTAAGGCATAAATAATCTTTTGTAACTCTGTCAAGATTCCTGCCTTCCAGTTTTATATTCTGCTAACAGAATATGAACTTTTTCAGCAAGCCCCAAGCTTTGTGCAAGTATGACTGTTCTGTAAATCATCCACCCGAGGGCCTGTTCTGGCTGTAGCTGAGCACATTTAATACTGAAGGTTTATGGTACACGAACAGGGATGTTTAACTATTTGATCAGTTTATTTAATAAAGAAAAAGAGATATAGTGCAGAAGGAAGAGGTGAGAATAAATTATTTTACCCAAGTCATTCCAAATGTAAATTTCCAATTCTCTAGCTTTACTTTCTGTGCTACATTGTCATATAAATCTCAGTGGATGAACTACAGATCTGTTTCAGAAAAATCAAGATCTCATGAATAACTTACTGAATTCTGTGTGTGAAATGTGTAATAGTTTTTCAGTGAAATGAGTCTCCAATATTGTGATTATTTGAGTCCCTGTCTTCTTCTTTGGGGTCTATTTAAAAATACGTTAATACTAAGTTAAATATCTCTGTGGACATTTTACTTAATAAAAGAAGCGTTATTTTCTCTCTTCAAAGCTTTGTGACAAGGAGAATATTGGAAGTATATGTCAGAAGAATTCACTTGGAAATTCTTCATTTTGAGGCCTGTGATTTCAGTTTCTTTGACTTGAGTCTGTAGTCTGTTCAACAGACAAACCTTGAGCTTTCCTGTTTCAGGAGGTATCAATCTCAGCTTCAGAATTAGTTTGTGTCATACCATGATAAATTCTTCAGGATTAGCTCATTGTCTCAGGATTGCATTTCCTATGCAGCCACATTTAAGACTGGAGCTGGCTGGTTTAATGACCTGTAGCACAAGTGTTAGTGTGTTTGAAGGTAAATAATGCAAAATTTAGCTGCCTTTGTATCATGTTATAGACACTAGTCTGATAAGAAAACCCAACAATATAATACCATAATACATAGATACATATAAAGTTTGTCAGTGTTGCGTCATTTCTAAACTCATTGCATGACTTCACTGTTTTCAGTTAAAGCAATGTAAATGTGAGGGTGGACACGATGACAAGAAATCCACGGATTATAGGACCTGTAAGGTACAGAGGTATAGAGAAACAGACATGACAAAAGCAGAGAGCACAGGACTTCAGTATTAGTTTAAAACATGTTTATAGACGTTTTACTTACCTTGACATCACATCTGCATTACTTAGCTATTTTATCTGTTATCTTTCAGGAGTTCAAAAGCAGTTTAAAAAAAAAGCGCTGACCACTTCTCTTTTGTTCCACTTAAAATTTCTGCCCTTGTGAATTGTTGGGGTACTGAAGATCAAGGTTCTGAAGTAACCTGTTTGAGGGCCACATGTACTGGTACATTGTACATGTGGTAATACAAACACCATCCACAATAAAGTGAGAGCTTCCTAACATTTGCATGCAGTGTTCATTTACAAGTCAACACCAAGAGGAGTCTTTGAGATCTTAGTTGTTTTTAATACTTTGATAGTATTCACAGTATCTTGGCTAATTTTTTGAGAGCAAGTTGAAAGGTTTGGTTGGGGCGTGCGTGTGTGTATTTCTGAGTGTGTAGAGTTCTTTTCTTACAAGGTCATGAAAGTGAACCTGAGCTTTCATGAAACATTCTTTTCCCTTTGCTTTTCTGTGTGCATTGAGGCTGTTCTCAGGAGCCCCAGCACCAGGCAGTGATGCAGGGCAATGATCTCACTCTGCATTAGCTCTGTGACTCTCTTCAGCAGCCACTTTGTTTTCCTGTGTCTACTGATACATGCACTTGTGAACCAAATGCATTATCTGCATTAGTCCTCACTTTTTATTTTGTTTAAGGTAGTGAGTTTAATATATAGGATATCCTGAGAAAGCGGTCTTGAATTTCGTGATTTTTTTTCACTTAACTAAACTGATTCTGAGAAACACAAAGAAGAAATCAGTTGGTATGAAAATTCACACAGGCTCAGCTAAGCTACTGGTTTTGTCTGCTGCTGTTTTAAGGTGTCTTTTCCAAATATGTAAGCAAGGCGTAGGTCTTTATTTTCTGCTTGGATAGACAAGAAAGTAACTATAATTATATTCCATGGTAGTCTGATGGCTGTGATATTAGGAAACTATTTCTGATGTTAAGCTAGTTTTATTTTTGTTGTTAAATTCATATGAGCAGAAAGCTTTCATTGTGAATTTTTTTTCTTATTTTTTCAATGTTCTGCTTGAGACAAGAACATTTGTTACCATCTGTATGCAGTTATAGTTCAGTTGATGATTAATGGTCTGCTCAGCTGAGCTTACATCAAGCCGTCTGCAAACAAAAAAGTCTTTGTTTTAATCTATATCTGAGAGCAAAGGTTTTATCTTCCAATTGCTGTACCTTGAAAAACAGCTTTGAACCCTGAAATGTGAGCTTAGCTGTTCTAAACATGTTCCCTAAATTTAATGTTAACAAAAAGCAGAGAAAACAGTGCAGTTTTGCAAATCTTCACTGCTGCATAAAATTAAAAATGTGCCTCAAAAATGTCCTTAGTATAATGAGAATGCAGAGCAATGTGTATGCACCAGGCCTACTCTTGGAGCTGCTGTGTATGTGGATGAAGGCAGAGAACGTAATGGCTCTTTCACCTGGCCCAGTTGGTATCACAGGTTTTGACAGGAGAGAGCCACGTGCCTTTCCTTGCAACATAGTGAGTACAGCAATAAGTTGCCTTTCTGTAGGTGAGTGTGAAGAATTTGGGTGTAGCCTGTGCATTGTCCAAACACACATCAATGCTTGCAGGTAGCTCTTGTGATTGAATGGCATCCTAGTTTTAGTCTGGGAGCCTATCACTAAGAAAAAGAAACAAAAGACTGAGGGGGGGGGAAAAAAAATAAAAAATGGGAGGCCAAGTTGTATTTGCTGCTTTCCCCCATGTTTGTTTCCTAAAGTTATTATTCAATAACTTACAATCAAATGATCAAAATTTGTGTAAATGTTGCCCTTTAAATGTGACCTTCAGGTATATCTGTTACTTCTCTTACTGCTAAGTTGAAATCCAGTTTTGAAGTAGTTCTCTGTATTTCTAAGTCCTTAGTGCTCAACAAAAAATTTTTACTAATGACAGAATAAGTTTTTCTTTTAATACCTTTCTGGAGCTTCATTTTTAATTTATTTGGTATCACAATGCAGTGCACCTGCCTTTTGAGTGCTTATAGTAAGTGACTCTCATTCGGTGTTAATGCTTCCCTTGTTAGTGGAATTAGGCCATAAATTTTCCTCAGCATAGATATGAAGGAGAGGGATGAAGAACTGAGGAATTAAGGGGCAGGCCTTTGGCATTAACAGCTTTCAATTGCAAAAGCTTCCTCGTCTTTTTAAATAACACAGTCAACCAAAAGTAATTCTGCAACAGGATTGTATTTAGAATATTGCTGTAAATAATTTGCTTGTTTCTTTGTTTTTTAACACTCCAGGTGGCTCTGCATGCATGTGGTGTGGCCACGGACATGGTCATGGAACACTGCGTCAAGGCCCGGGCAGCCTTTGTCATCTCCCCTTGTTGTTACGGCTTCATTCAAAACACAGTGAAGTTTAAATATCCACGCAGGTAAACTAAAGCTAACAAGATAAGCTTTAAAATATATGCTTAAATGAAGGAAGAAAATACTGAAGAGTGTATAGAATTAATCAATTAAGATGATTGCAAGTGTCCAGGCTGAACTGGTTCACAATTATAATGCAGCTGTCTCCACCTGTTTCTCCTTGCAAACCCATCGTGAAAAGGAGACGGATTGGTAATTCTTGGGTTATGTTTTTTCTGGATTTATCTAGTCATAGTTCAGAAGACTATACCATCAACATAGTAGATACAATATGTGGGAATCTATGTAATATGGAGACCTTTTACCTTGAAATCACAAAGTTAATAGAAAACTCATGAAAATTACTGTAAGAAGAACAGACATTTTAATGTTGGAGAAAGATGTAAGCAGTCAGCTTAAATAAATGGGTCTGCTTTATGCCACAGTTTACTGCTTGTAAAACTCTTCTGATTTATTCCCAAGTAGACAACCTTTCCTCTATTTCAGTTCATATTTTTAATACTTTGGACTGTGTAGCTATTTTGTCTCCTTCGAATTTGCCATGCTGGAGATAGTTATATATAACGTAGGCTTAAAAATTTTAATGCCTTTGATATAAATAACATATCAAAGGTGAGCATTAAAGTGGCAGAAGATAAGAGGCTAACAGCTTTCTTAGGCAGAACTAGGTGAGGTTAAGAGGGTTGTGGGGTTTGGTTTTTTTTGTAAAGCTGAGCTTTGCATTTTGGATACTCAAGATGAGTCTGATTTAATTCTACTGGGAATTACAACATTCTATTTGGTATGTATTTGCTAAAATAAGAAACTGAAACATGCTGTCTTAAAAGGAATCAACAAATCTAAAAAAAATCTTATGCATTCATATTAAATATTTTTCTTATTTTTCTATAGTATCAAAGTGTGCTGTCACAGAAGTGCGTGGGGAGTAAATATTTAGAATTTGTCAGTATGATACACTTTGCATTTAACATTGTTTTTCTAGTCAGTTTGATTCTTCCATCTCTTTGTTTCGTCCCTTTATGTTTTCTTTTTTGACACTGTTAAACAAGTATCCTTAAGGAAAAGGCAATAAAATTTTAAGTCTTGTGAACTTAGCAGGCATATAGCTTTTCTGTGTTGACTTGTTTTAAAACTGACCTGATACTGTTTAACTTTTGACCAGTTATAGGTTTAGATCATGAAGACTGGAAATGCTCACTATGTTAGCCAACTTTTGTTGGTGTAGATGCTGCAAGAATGTAAATTATGGGTTTGTGTTTGCTAAATTTTGAATCTATAATCATAAGTCTCTGTAGAAAGTTATCAACTGTAGCTCAAGCTACATATTAGGATTTGCTTTTTCTTTTTTTCTTACTTGGTATGATCAGAAAATGTTAGCCTGCCCATATCTCCACATCACTGTGTTTTATACTCAATTCTGTTGTAGAGACACCTTATTTTTGTGATACAAAGAAAATATATGCATGTCTAGAGGTTGTGTACATGTAATATAAAGTATTTATGTGATAATGTGGAAAGAACAATAAATCTGTGTTAGCATTTATAATGATTTAAAGAGAGAATTTTTATGAATAATACAGCAGGGAAAAAAAGAATACAGCCCAAAATTTGCTTTTCCTTTTTTAGTGAATTGGTATAGTAATGGTTTCTGGGTTTTCCATGTCTTTCTGTAAGATACAGATACTGTTGTTTTTTTTAAAATGTGCTCAGGTATGTATGATTGTTTCTATTTTCCACCTCAGCTTTTTTAGATATTAATTAGTCTATTCGTTTTTTTTTTTTTTTTTTTTTTTTTCAGTCATCAATTCAAAGAAATTTTGTCCTACAAGGTATGTAAAAGTGTTGGGGGGAGGATTATCTGCAGTTTCCCATCTTTCACCACATCTTCTTATCAAATAAAATAGAAGTAGTTATCTTTTAATTGCAAAGAGGAGCATGTGTTATGCGAAATGTTCATTAGTAGTGTGGATGTCGTGTTGCTTTCTCTCCACCATCTATTTGTAAGGCTCTTTTATTAAAAAAAAATTCAATAGTTTCTCCACAAAATAACTTTTTTTATCATATGTTTAAGTGAGCCATTCCTGAGATACTTCAACTTATATCAATTAATGATTACAGGATTCCAATTTATTTAGGTCTTAAGTACAACTGTTAATCCTGTGGAAATGTCTGGTTGTATTTTAGGTGAAATGATTCCTTTTATAGATAGTATTTTTTTATAAGCATTCGATTTCTCCCTCTGTGTCTAGAAGATTGGATGTAGTGAGTAGAAAGCGCTTATGCTCAGCAAAAACCTTATACAGTATGCCTGTATCAAAAATATTCAAATATGTTTTGACCCTAGGGAGCCAGGGTCTGTGTGGAGGTAGTCTAAGAGAAAAGTGGGGGAAAGAACCAATGAGGCATGCAGAACTGACAGGATGAAGATAACAGATAACAGGGGAGCAAAAAAGGACAAGAGCAGAGAAGTGGACTGCAGACAGCTGGTACCAATCTATTAGTGCATTTAAAATGCTTAGTAATGAGCAACCAGAAATTTTGAAGGTTAGACGCACTTAATGTGGCATGGAAAAAAAAAATGTTTCTATTTGAGAGGAGCAATCTTATATAGAAACTTAGCACTAAGTTTACCTGTCAAATCCTAGACAAAGGGTAGTAGTGTTTACAATAAGAAATTAATTTTGGCGATGCAGAATAATCCATTGAGAGACATATGGTATTTCTAATACCCACATCTTTTTGGGACAGTGAACATAGCAAAGATGCTATATGTAGTAGGAAAATTGAGATTATCCTTTTTAATCCTCAAGTAAAATGGGCATTTAAAAAATTCAGGAAACTTCCAGCCAGTTTATATGGGGAAGTTCCGTTACCTGGTGATACACTAATCTTTATCTTCATGACATGCTGGTTTATGCACACTTTACTCATTTACATGGAAATAAATGTCAACAGATTAAGATGATAAAAGTGGCATAGAGGACTCAGACCTGCCATTATTTATTCATTTGATTAACATTCTTTTCAACACATCTATATGTTTCTAACACATAATTGCAAAGAACTCATGTTTCAGTTGAGAAAAAGTTTATTTACTAACATACAAATAAAAGTAGACCTGTTGACAGTAAAAAGGGACATAGTGACAATTACAAAGTCAAGAATGCCTATATTAGGATGCTGTGTATAATCTCATTAAAGATCAGTGATTTTTTTTCTTAGTCTGTTAATCCCTGGAGGTGTAAATAACAGGGTTTGTCAACACTACAGAAGTTCCAGAGTTTTGTTAGCTGTGTTGCAGAAGGGCACAGGAGCCATGGACAATGCTGGAAAATGCTGCTGCTCTTAATATAGGAGTTTATACAAACAGGCTGGGCTGGTTGGTGCCTCAAATAATCCTAGTTATAAATAACTTTTGTTATACAGCTAGCTATATGCACTTTATATTATTAAATTTTTACAGATTATTGGCTAGTAGCCAAAGCTGCCATGTGTTAGCCAGACGTTGTGTGTCACCCCCCTCCAGTTCTCATTTTAAATTCATTTCTCTTATCTTTCATTTTAGTAAGATCTAAAAAGACATCCAGGAGTCTGGCAATTCCAAAACTTTTTTTGATGAGAACATTATGCTGTAATTCATTAGTTTATAGCTGCACAGAAAAAGGTTATGATAGCTGTAGATTTCTGGCATGATAGATTTTGAAACTCTTACTCATCAAGACACTCTCCCTACAGGAGAACTGGAAAGTAAAACTGAATTACTTTGCACGTACAGCTTTGAAAATTTAATAGGAATTGAAGGTGTGGGAGTTCTACCAAGGAAGTTGTTTATGCACACACAAAGTTTGGGCAGTTTATAATCGTTATCTTCATTATTTTAGAAATCCTTTTCTTCTTATTTCTGCCAACAGGGAATGTGATTCATTCACTGTGTCGTGTACAAACAATGTAGTCATAACTTAGGCTCTAATTTAACTTTTTAGATCATCTCTGTAGGAAGCCACGGCATTAGAATCAGTCCAGATTTTCAGGCTAAATGGCAAAGCTTACCTTGGCTCTGGTCTAGCTGGATGAGCTAAGAGCCTGATGTTGCAAAGAGCCAGGCTGTGTTGGGTTCTTGAAGGCTGATGGGGGGTTCTGTGCTAATGTGGCTCTTCTCCCTCTCCTCGCAATCCCATTTGTTTCTCCCCAAGCTGCCTATCACTGCCTCTTCTCTCCTAACAGCAGCCTGTGGCTTTAATCCTCCATTCTCCAGTAGTCCCATCTGGGTTTAAGTTTTCCAGCTCTTTTGTACTGCAAAAATAGCCATATTTGAACGGAACTGACTGGGCATAACATGTTTAAGTCCCAAACATGTTACAGTGTGCTTGTTTTGTGTATTTCTTATGGAGCTTAGAGCTGAAAACCTTCATCTGAATGTGCTGTACTAGGGAAGAAATATCCCTGCCTCTATATACTGTAAATTGATTTAAATGAGTAATATTTTAGTATCAAGTACCGATAATATGTTATTTTATAATATATGGGCAAACTTTTGTGGTCAGGTGTCTATTAATTTTATGGATTGGGTGGAGTGTACTGTAGAGGAAGTTACTATCTTGGTTTAATAAGAAGATAAGATTTCATTTGGGTTTTGTGTGAAATGAAGACTTTTGGATGTTTATGTCCCCCTAGTAGAAAGCTGGAGTAAGTGTCCTTACTTCAGGATGCTGAAAGAACCCAAAGTATCCATAGGTGAATTTTCTAAACCAAAACAGAACAAAACTCACAAACTCACAAACAAACAAACAAACAACCCAACCAAACAAAAACGAACAAAAAACCACCAAAACAAAAGATCTTTTTGATGCAAAATACATGTCCTTTTTTTTCAGAACAATAGCTCTGGAAGCTTTGCTTAGCAGAGCACTTTTTGTTGTTAGTTACAGTTTTCTTTCTATGACATTATAGGAGACTTGGGAATGTTGTACAAATCTAAAATGATTTTGATTTACTCTGTCCTGGGCTTAATATTGCAGCTGTCCCAAAGAGCACAGCTGTCATCAGAGCATTAATTTCCTTGCTACCCCTTTAAGGCTTTTTCTCTTACCATCTGGCTATCTTGTCTTCCTTGGCTTGGCTGGTCTTGTCAGAAACCCATATGGTGGCATAGGCAGTCGTTTTTGAAAGCGAATGAGGATGAGGTTCTGCCTGCTTGGAGGCAATTGCACCATACCCCTGGGTGACAGGGCAGGAAGAAATAACAGCAGCTGTTGTAGAAGCCTCTGCAGAAACTTTGAGTAGAACAGGGATAGTTTGAAAGTGAATTGTGATCATTTTGATGCAGGAAACCTTCCTATTCACAGCCAGGTATTTTTTGCCTTCAGGATCAATTTTGCATTCAGGATCTTTTGAATTGATCCTGGATGAATATGGCAGAGCAGAAGTTTGACCCACAAGGTGATTCTTCTGAGATTCAAAATCACTGCTTGGGAGAAATGTGCAGTAGTGCAAATCTCCTATTTAAGAATTTTGTCTTGGCTTCCTATTGATGTGGAGATGTTGTCCATGACGACTGTGCTATAAGAAGGTTGTACTCCTCATCAGCAATTGAAGGCAAAATTAGTCTGCAGCATGTCTTTTTGAATGCTTTATTGTACACATTACATCCATTTCAACTGCTGCAGAGAATGAGAGAAAATACAACAAGAAACAAATACTAATGAGTAGAAATATGATAGTGGTTACAAACAGTTGATCTACACGCACTTTTACAAGCCAAAGCAGTATGAAAATTAGGATTTGCACACATAATTTTTCTAGAAATAGTATTCAACATGATATAATGTTCGATATTTGTAAAGTTTTTTGATACTTTTAAACATTTAATTAGGATTTTCGTACATTATTTGGAAGAGGGAAATGCTACTTGACCAACTGTCTGTACTTTTCTTTTTTTTCCTAGGAGCACATGATCCTCTGCAGATTTGCAGACCAGACAGCTGTTCAGCTTCCACCTGAACGCAGGCTAATTGGTATGAATTCCTGCAGCTGTTGTGTAAACTATCTCAGTAATGAATTTACCTTGTTCTATAAAGAAACACGTAGTACATTTATGAACAGGGCATTACGTTGCTGTCTTCACATACACTTGAAAATTTTGAGTTCCTTCATGTTTTGCCTCTTCCTATATGATATAGCAATTCTGTTCTTTCAGAATTACCAAGATGAGAAAGTTTGCATGTTACTGATTTTTGTTACTTCTCATTTATTTCTCTAACCACTCTCTGAAAAGAAAAAGGTCTTTGGAAAGTTCACTAAAGAGAATACAGACCTGTTTGGGCCACATTATTACTAGGATCATCATAATATTTTTTTGAAAAAAAAAAAAAAAAAAGGTTTTCTGGGATTTTTTTTTAATCTGAAGACTTTGCCAAGAATGTAGTTTTGCTTACACTTACCTGGGGTATCAGCCTTCCTATTTTGGGAAAACTTAAAACTACAGCAGTGCATGACTCAATTTTTACCTGTGTAAAATTTTTAGTTGTGTTTCACGTTTGTATTTTACTGCCAGTCTGAGTAAGAGCAGCTGCCTTTTGTTGGGTCGTTTCTGTGCAATTAACAGCCAAAGTAAGATGATCCCTGAGATTTTAGTTTCTTGGTCAGGTGTCAATGATATCTGGGGAAAAGTAATGCAAGAAGCTATCATTAAGATAGCAGGAATTTCATAAGCCAGGACAGCAATACAGATAACACTTCAAATATTTGGAATAATCAAAGCCATTTCTTCATTATGTGAAATATTGTAGTATTTTTTGACTTATCAGACAGGAACATGTTGCACTATTTTATATTAATGTTCTGATGGAAGCTATAAACTAGTTTGTAGGTCAGAAAAGACAGAAGGGTCTGGGAGCTCTTAGAATATAACTGTGCATTCTTGACTGGCAAGAAACACTTAAAAGGTATATTAAAGCAGTAGTAACAAACACATTTTTAAAAAGCTTCCTTTGAAGAATTCATATTATTTCCTATACTCACCACACAAGAAAATAATTCAGATTCTGAGATAACTATCTATTTTGCAATAAATTGTTGGGTCTTTTGCTATCATCACAATATATGAAAAAGATTTTTTGTTTTTAGAATGACAGTGTTCAGTTACCAGTGTAGCAACCCCATTGTCTCCTGCAGCTTTTCAGGTGGACTAAATATTGGAAAAGGATCCCAAACGCTTTTTTAAAGATTGTGAATTTTGTCTGTTCTCCATCTCTGAAACAACAGTTTTGGGGTTTTTTCCACAAATTTAACTTTTATGAGCGTTGCCCTTACAAAAAAAGCCAAACATAAATCTTTGTCTCCTTTTGCCTGCAACATTGCTTTTTCTGTTTCTTTATAAAGAATATTATTTTTTCTTTAAGTTCCATGTAATACTAATCTGTTTCAGTGAAGATCATTCCCGCTTCAGTGTTCTGTTTCAGACTTCCCATAACTGGTTTTAAGGGAATCTTGTTGAGATATGTTTAAGTTTTGTTTGTAAATAATTGAAGACAGAATCGAATCAGTGTTACAGCTATGGTGAGGTGGGTTGGTTGGTTGGTTAATTTTGTGCAATGTGTAATCAGGTATTGAGAAAGCTGTAGACTTAGTTTAATGAAAATATCCCTGAACAAGTGGAGACTTTCTTTTCTGTCGTAAATGATAGAAAAATGACTCTTCCTGATACTTTTTGAATATTTTAGGATTGTATTATAAACTATATTTTAGCAATTTCCAAGTGAATTTATGCAGCTTCAGTGAAGTGACAGATAATTTTGTTTCATTACCTGTAAGCCCCTAAAGGGATTAAGTACAGCATTCTGTCTGTCATGGCTGAAACAACACATTTATCAAAGGAGTCACCACCTATTTCTGTACTTGCTGTAAATGTAAAAATACGTCATCGAGCCCAGTCCCACTACACACTGCAATTCCCTCTTAAATGAAGTTCTGTTTCCCATTTCCCATGCACGTGTGTGTTTTATCCACGATATGCAGCTGTGGGACCCGAGTGCAAACATACGGAACGGTTCTGTGGGCATCAGTACAGCCCACCTGATTTATTCTGTCTGATCACAAGGCTGTCCCATGATTTTCACAGTCTTACTGAGAGCACCCAGGGAACCAGGCCTCAGTTGTGACCATCCCAACTGCCCCATGGTGTGTACGCTGTCAGGGGCAGGAGTGTGTATGTGTCATTTTGTTCGACCAACAGAATAAGGTGATCTCCTGTGAAACCACAAATGTAGAAGAATAGTGCTGCAAGAAGTAATTTATGGAGATCTATCGTGGTTAGTTATATGAACTGGTGATTTCTCCTTCTAACATACAAATCTATACAGGACTGAGCTGGAAGGTTTTTTTAGGTGCAACCATATTATTTTGTCTTTGAATTGTCTACTACATAGTATACTAACCCTCTCAAATTCCATGCCACCAGTAGAATAGAGTCCAAATGTCATAACACTGGTGAAACCAAAGCACTGAATTTCTTTTGTAACTAAGAAATTCAGATGAGGATAAAATACACCTGCCCATCAGCTTGCTGTTGAAAGACAGAATAAACTGAACTGAGCATTGTATTGAAGTGTGATATGCACCAGCTGTTCAGAAATACAAGGATACTGAGGGGCATGTTTGTGCCACCTACCCATCAGTACCAGGGCTTGTAATGTTACAGACACTCAAGCTCTGCAGGTATGTATTCAAAGCAGAGAGGTAGGCAGTTCCAGAGGGTAGTTTGGAATGCCACACTTGTATCCTGATGGTAAACAGATGGAGTGCTCCTGTCTCTTCCCTTCATCTCAGACCCCAAATTTATTTAATGATACAATTCTGTCAGGAACAAGAAAAGAGGTAGGATCATTGGCTTAGAGACTGAATCAGGATTGCACCTGGTCTGTGACTTGAGACTATATGACTATTAGAGATGGAACGTTTCAGGCAAGTGCTATATCTTTCTTTCAAGAGAGTTTCAAACTGCTGAAAATACAGTCTGACAAATCAGTTCTGTATTTCAGAACACAATAATCCATTATAATGAGTAAATATGTAAAGACAAATGGCCCCATAATCTTGACATGGCTGTATTATAATACAAACTTCTAAGCAGAAAAAAACCCTTTAATTTATTCTTCTTATTTTTTCTGGAGGTAAATCTGAGATGAGGTTAAGTTTTATTAGTAATTTAGTATTTTTGCATGCAAGCAGTTACACTTAGGTCTCAAATCGATCACACTGGATCACTGCCTGGTATTTTAGTCTTTTATTGATATGCAATAAACAGATTTTTAGATCAAAGTAGAAGAGGATAACAGTTATGGTTATAAAGGAAGTAGAAGTCTGGCAACTCAGAGAGCTAAGGGCATTATTTTTCTTCCTATGGCTTTACATTAATGCATAGATTTTTTTTTTTTTTTGTACATTTTGGGAATATTTAAAAATAGTTGTGCTTGTTATGTTTCTCCATATATAAGGACTTAATCCTTTTCAAGATCTTTCCTAAATAAGGGTTTCAAGTCACAGATGAGATTTAGAACTAGTAATGACTGTCTACTTGAAGTAAAACAGATAAGATAGGTTTTTAAGTAGATTTCAAACTTATTTTTTTAGATGACTTACTGGTGTGTTTTCTTAACATTGAATATTGAAGTGCATGTTTCTGATAATGTTTCTGCATTCTCAGAGTTGACATGCTCTCCTTTGCTTTCATTTTAGGAAAGCAGTGTATGGGGCTTGTGGATTTGGATCGGGCCTGGGCTGCAGAAGAACGTAACTACTCTGTCCAAGTTATATCTATGGAGCCAGAGAGTTGTTCTCCAAAGAACGATATGATTGTGGGCATCCCTACTTAGATCCCTACTTAGAGTGTGAAACTCACATTTGGTTTGAAGTCAAACATAAATCTTCAGTGCATAATGACATCCAGCAGATACAAGCATAGCTGGGAACCAGACATCACACATCTTGAACCCATTGTATTCAGAAAAGGAAGCAGCACAAGAAGTCGCAGAAAATGAACTGCATGCAGATCATCACAAATTGTAGTTGTAATATGTCATTAAGCAACTTTGGGTTCTCTTATTGAGAAGTTTCTGGATCTAATGGCTGTGCATGGAATCATCCATCTGTAAAGGTTTAGAAAAAAGTTGGTGTCATTGAAGGTGTCATGAACCAAAGGACGGAAATCCCCGATTTGTGACGTTGCAATAATCTGCCCCTCCAACAGGGGGGCTGCAGACGAGACGTAGGGTCCGTCTGCCAAGGGTGGGTCGAAAACAGCCTTTCCCACGCTCCCAAGATGCCACGAAGACCAAAGATTATTAAACAAATTGATTAATTTATTAAGAAATAACACCAATCACAATCTAAGGTTCAAGGAAGGAAATATATATATATATACACACACATATATTACAACAGGAAAAACTTTGGGGGGGGAAGGATTAGTGAAGCTTAAAATTTGAGCAAAGTTGCAGTTGTGGAACCGTTTGAAAAGATCAACCACAGTCATGTTACTGTAAAATGAAAATAAATGTTCTTCTATTTCTGATTTTTAGGCTGTTTTCTATCCCAGTTTAAAATCATCCATTGACACTAATGTGATGGAAAATAGTTCCTAGTGATATTTTTATTGTGTTTATGGGTTTGATATGTTTATTAATTTTACCATAGATTAACTTAAATATACTAGAAGTTTGGTTAGTGTGTACCTTCGGTGCCATATGGCAAACAGAATTACAAACAATAGGTATGGAAGGAAAAAAAAAGGATCATGAAATATTTTATTCTTCATGAAAGTTCTGTCTCCAAAATATCTAAATACTTGGGGTTTTTTAATGTGAAGACTGAAGGAAACTGCACACTTATTTGGAAGCACAAAGGTGAGCAAGCAGGTATGAATTCACACCTCCAGCCTGAGTTCTTCAGTGGATAATGACGGAATACTTTTTCTGCAACTTTTTATAGTTACAGGAGTAACTGGGGGTTGGATGAACATATAGCAAATAGAAAATATGTGGCAATACCAGTTGCCTCCAGGATTTTCTCTTACTTGCCCAAAGAGAACTCAGTTTTTAAGATATCAGTGTGTCAAGTCTGAGCATTATTTCATGTTAAATTACTTTATTTAGGAGTCTAGGTACTACATCTGGAGTGAAAAAATGTCTCTTTTTGTGGTGAAGGAAAAACTCATCAAGGTGAGACTCCTGATGCAAGCTTTGTTACTCTTTATAGTCTGGATTTTCACAATATTCTGCTTCAGGCAATGGGTACCAATATGTGTCTGTTAATTATGATGAGGCTGAATATTTGGCATGGTCTTATATTATGCAATAATAAATAGCCTTCAGTAGAACAGAAATCCGTGCTGTTACATGCTTCACAATTTCTACAATATCTGTCTCAGTAGTCTGTAACAGGTTTTGGATCTACTGGAACAGGAGGAGGAATACATTTGGGATGTGCCACTGAATAAAATATAAATATGGCTTTTTTAACAGAAGAAACCAGTATTTCTTGGAAACAGAGGTGGAGAAGGGGCTTTATTTGGACAGATGTCCAAATTTATTAATAACCAAAGTTATTAAGTACTTAGTGCAGTCAAGAAAAATAGCTTAAGTCGCAGAAGAATCTGAACACAAATGTTTTTTGTTTGTTTGTTTCGTACTCATTAAAGCATTTGTTTTCGTGTTAATGATGCAGTTTCCGACATATATTGCTTATTTGTGACCTAAGCAAATTATTTTATACCTGGTGTCCCACATAGAACTAGGCTTCACAGGAAAAAATGGTTTATAGAAGCAAGGGAGAAAACCTGCAAAACTAGTGCTGTTTATACACATCATGACATCCCATTTTTCTTGGATGCGCCTAACTACAGAAAGTGAGTTTGTGGCAGATTTTTTTGTTTATTTGGTTTTTTCTAGAGATTCAGGATATTTTGTTGGCATCTCATAGTATCTATCATGTTGATGGCTTACAGGATAGCAAGACTGCATCCCATTTGTAACACTGCTTTGTGACCTTGTTGCTATTGGCATCAATGGGCTCTGGTTTCTTTTCTCAGGAGAACAGAATCTTCCTCATGTGTAAGGATGAACTTACTTTACTATGAATAGTAAAGCCTGAACTATACTTGAGGTGAACTTGATGTTTTGTTTATTGGAAACTGAAGAGAAGCAGATGGGGGAAAAAAAACCAAACCAAACCAAACAAAAAAAAAAACAAAACCAAAAACAACACAACTAAACAAAACATAAAAACGAGAAGGTATTTTCAACAGTTGATAATAGCTAATTTACCACAGATTAAATTGCTAATCTGCTGTGTACTTCCCTCTAGAAATGTGAGTTCATTTATATTATTTTTTAGGTTATGTTAATTTTTTACATCTTTGCATATACAATGGTATGGAATTAATGGAGCCTAGAATTCCCTAAATAAGGTTACTGCATACTGTGGTCCTGGTAAGTAAACAACTCTTCTTGTTCTTCTAGCAGCTTGTTACACAAGGAGCTAGCTTGATGTCCAAGATGCAGACCTAAATATAGTTTGAGTTTCTTATGTGTCTGACCCCAGTGGGACCAGTTGTAGGGTGAACAAAATGCTGTCCTAACAGAGCCATAATTTTGAGTTGTATTCCCAGTCTTCTTTTATGTTTCTCTCGTAGCCGGTAATGCTAGGAAAATTAAGTGTATAACAGGAAACAGATTACCAAACTGAACTGAGCTCCTCTATGTACTAAAGTTGGTCATCTGTGGTACATGTATCTTAATTTTTGTTCTTTCATTTTTGTCTTTATTGTGTTAATTATCTGCTTCCTCAGTCCTATTTCAAGAGGTGTTAGTTTTACCATATTAAGGCAGGGGTAGTAGTAAAAAAGGGACATTTCTAGTAAGTGCATTGTGCCCCTTAATTTTTCTGTGACTTAACTCTTAACAAAAAAAAAAAATTGAGATGTTAGTATTACTCTGCTAAACCAGTCTGATTTTTTTAAAGTTATAATTACATGTGTTGTCAATATTACCTGTTGATTATTCCTGCACAGACATATAAAATGATTCATTCATAGGACTGCCATAAATTTTAGGCTGATGTTTTCTGTTTCTGTTTACTGTTTGACTTTCAGTTGCATGGTGGTACCTTTCTTCATTTGAAAAGGCAATGATAATAAGCAGAAATCAGTTTTTAAATAGCTGTCTTCCTGTGTGACATTTTAGGCTAGCTATCCTCCTTGAAAAGAACAGTTTTAAAAACCTATGTGATCAAGTATGTACACATATGAGTTTCAGCTTTAAGTAATCTGCAGTGAAATGGCACACAGCTGATTCTGTGGTGGGTTTATATGGGTATTAGTTTGGCTAGACACCATCAGCTGCAACTATTTTCTGTCAAAATTTTGATTTAGGATTAACAATTTACCCTTTCAATGAATATATAAATATATGTCAAAAAAGAGTATTGAGCTAGAAAAGCACTGTTTAATAAAAGGTAACTGAACAGCTGAAGTATGGGTTTCAGTCTTAGTGTTTAGTTGTCAGCAGAAGGAGAACCACTTTTTTTCCTTTAAGCCTATTCAAATTGTACTTTGAGTGTTTTTGCCTGGGAGCGTTTGCCTGTCATAACAAACTCCTGAGGCAGAATCTCAGCCTCTAAGTTCCTGTGATTTTATTACTCTTCTTTCTTGCTTTCTTTCTTCTTTTTTTTTTTAAAAAAAAAGGGGGGGGTGGGGAACCTAGGTATTGTACTTGTACTTGTCTGTACCTTTAGTATAAAAAAATCTTATGTGCTTCTTTAAAATGAATAAAACATCTGAACTTTCCACTCTTAGACTGGCACTTAAACTACCTAGCTCTCATGGTTTCAGTTCTGTAGCTTGTCTTTAGCAAGTTTCATCTTATTACAACTATCATTAAAAGAAATCCAATTTCCTAAGTTAATATTATATTAAAATTATGTGCAAACAGGAAAACTTAAATCAAAACATTTTTTTCTTTGTAGCTTCTATTTACTCAGAAATTAAGTGAGCAGTGAAGTCTCCTGCTCTGCACTCTTCTCTACAAAGTGAACATAGGAAAAATGCCTGTCTTTTCAGAATTCCCCTGAGAAGCCTCATGTGGAAAGAATAGTGTTTAGGATAGTTTTCTAATAAATCACTCAAGTAATTTTTGAGTGAAGACAGAACAGTTTTTAAACTTTGTATATGTCAAGTGGTGTATTTCCTAATTTGTAACTCAAAATTATTTTACTTAAGTGTTTGAATTTTTCACATACTTCAGAATTTTTTTGAAGGTGTTAGTGGAAATATTCATTTGTATGGAAAGCAAGTGATATTTCAGTATTCTTGTTAAATAATCACTGACTCTAGAAATTAAATTATTGACTAAGTCTATGCTTTTTGTCTTTTAGACTATATTCTAACTGATGACTGCTGATCTTTTGTAAGTTTGCATAAAACCAGGTGTGATGGATCCCTTGAAACAGGTTTGCTAAAATGATCGTTTCACTACTATTGAATGTGATTACTAATTTTAGTGCCAATCTTAAAAAAATAATTCTGTTTTCTTTAAGAAATACAAACATGTTGTGTGAATTCAAAGGTACCTGTTACTACTTCAGCAGTTTTACTGGCACATTCCTTGTGATAAATTTGTCATTCTTCCTTGAGTGAAAGATTTCCCTTGAGCTTTAAGAACTAGGAGAGCCTTTAGTCAGCGTACCTGAGGCTGAAATCATGGCTGCACTGAAGATGGCAAGCTCTCCGTGACACTGAGAACAATGGGTTTTCATCCACTGACTTTCACATACATGAAACCACTCTTTAATTGTTTTTGTGTACTGAGCCCCTTGTATG